AAAATTAACTAACAATACCCAAAATATTTGGGACCCCTCCACCCCCGCCCCTTTTAGAGTAATTACCCCGAACCCAATCCCAGCCTTCCCTTTGTGGTATGGAACCTTGTAGTACAATTTTAGAGAGATGCATACACTCAAACACAAGTTATTGTCTGGAACTGGGAAAAATGCTTGATTTTGGCCCCTTTTTTGCCACTAATTCCTGAACGTTGGGGGGAATTACCCCAAAACTCAAACCCAGCTTTCCCTTTGTGATATTGAACCTTGTGGTACAATTTCAGAGAAATTTATACATTTTGACTTGGATGGAGAGTTGTCTCATTGGCACGCATACCACATCTTCTTATATCTACTTAAACAAGTTATTTCCTGAAACTACAAACATGCTTGTTTTTGGCCCTTTTTTCCTAAACTGTTGGTACCATAACCCCAAAATCAATCATAATCTTCCTTTTGAGGTATTGAACCTTCTGTTTAATTTCATAGAGATCAATTTACTAAAACTAAGATTATTGTCGGAAAACCAAACGTGTTTTCGGACGACGCTGACGCGGACAACGACATCATAGCAATATACAACGCAACATTTTTTTTGAGGTCGTATAAAAACCTTTGCCATAGACATATGTGCATCAGTAATATCTCAGATGTTATTCTCCAAAATAGTATACTTGTATATAAATGTGAATTTTTGATTCACTAGTAAATATTAAGAGTAAACTGCAGATATTTATAAGTTCCACTCACTGGGATATTTACATTATTTAAGTGCAATTGTCAGATATTTTAGCAATTGTCGAATATTTTAGTCAGGGGCGGATCCAGCCATTTTTTAAGGGGGGTTCCAACCATACGTCTCAATTCAAAAGCATTGATCGTTAAAAAAGTGAGGATTCCAACACCAGGAAGTACTAACTTTCACTTTTCATGATGTATCTTTGTTTATATTTTTTTAAATTCTTATGAATCCTGTATAATGGCCTGATTGACTGGTTTGCCACATAATGTCTCTGTTTAATGCTACATGTACATGCATTTTTTTTTTTCATGTTAAAAATACATTCAGTGTGTGAAGAAGTAATTTGTGTACCAAATTATAGTTTGCAATTTAAGATAAAAATATATTTTTATTGTATGAGAACTATAATCATGACTATTTGTCAATCTGATTTTTTTGCATAGCCTGCTTTTAATTAATCTAGTTTGTAGACGTTATTAAATCTGTCCATGAAGAGTGAACTATACTAGTCTAGTAAAACACATACTGTTACATGTATAATTTTATCAATTACACATGTACTATTAATTAGGCAACGTGAATTCAGTCATGAAGAACATTGTATAACTGTGCTTACACCATGAATGTGACGACAAATATTAAGTGTGAGCTGAGAGTCTGCAAGGTTTTTATGCATAAGTGGCATTCTGACTTTCTATCTGACTGGTTTTTGTGTGTCAATATTTTTGTTTCAAACAGGATGTGGTATAATTGCTTATGAGACAACTCTCCACAAGTGACCGAATGACACAGAAATTAACAACTATATGTATAGGTCAAAAGCCTTTACCGCATATTCAGCTATAAAAGGCCCCGACCCGAAATGACTAATGTAAAACGAATGAGAAAACTGACGGCCTTACCCGCTAATTTATGTACAAAATGATGAACAAAAACAAATATGTAACACAGCAACAAAAAACAACCACTGAATTACATGTTCCTGACTTGGGACTGGAACATACAGAATGTGTTGGGGTTAATGTTTAAACGTGTCAACCCTCCCCTAACCTAGGACAGTGGTGTAATGGTACAACATATGGAAGGCTTTTATCAAGTTGAATTATTCATTTGTGAACTCTGAATCTAGAGAAAAGTATATAATTACAGAAAAAATGTGTAAAATGTGTTGTATGAATAGTGCTCGTCTAACAGCCTTTATGAAGCAAGTGAAATGTAAGGAGCTTTGTACATAAAAGTCCATCATAAAAATTTCACTTATTTTTGCATTTTACAATGTCTTTTGTAACTGCTGCATTTCACATACTATCTTTCTCTTCTACTGTATGATAGTAAGTGGTTCAAATATATGCTTTTTGAGACTAGAAATACGTTCAATAGAAATTAGCAAAAAAAAAAAAAAAAAAAATTTTATAACTATAGCTTTATTATGAACTTTTAAATGTAAATTCAATGTGATACGGCCTAAATTGACCCTGAATTATTTCAAGTGTTATTTGATACTAATATGATATGTTATTCGTAATTTTCTTTCTATTTAAAAGTACATTTTGTAGATATGAAAGGATTATTTACACTTCACAAATTTTAAATTTCTGGAAAATCTTACATCTTCATGCAAGCCCCCCCCCCCCCTTCCCCCCTCCTCCTCCTCCATTCGCAAACTTTAATTTTTAAGGCACATATATGCTCATACATTTTTGTGATTTTGTTGTTTTGACTTAGGAATAATTTTTATACATCTGATACATCAAATGAGTATTCTATTGCTTTAAATACAGAACACATTTAATAGTAAGGCATTTAAAAGGTATTTTTGTTCGCAATATTTAAATGTTTAAAGCCCCAAATGTTGATAGTTAACATTTTTTAATTTTAACGTCAAAATTTAACACCCAAATTTGAATATAAAAGTAGTCATTTTGTCTATCATATATATCTTATTGCTATGAAACTTGGTCAACAGTCTTTTAATTAAGTAAGCTTTGGTCACACCAAGTTTTGTTAAGATCGGTTAAGTCTTTCTATCCTATCAGATAGGAACATAGTTATCGTCCTTTGATTTTTTTATTTGTCTACAATTAGACTCTAGTGTGAACATTTTCATACGCCTTTCAAAAGATTTATGCCTAATAAAGAGGAAGTAAGGAGATGAAATTACACTGTAAATAAACTTTGGGTCATGAATGGTTCAGCTGAAAAAGGTAAAAAATTAGGATGTCTGAAGTTGTCAAAAGATTTCAAGACCCTCTTAACATAAACTTGTCCATATTTTGAGTTAAAGCTAATGAAGTTTCCTATAAATTTGATATAAATTGTTCCAAAAGTAGTAAATACACTGTAAAAATATTATTAAGACAGCGCAGGTGCAACTTTTTAAATTTTCATTAATTGTCTTAAAGAAATACACTATGAAATAACTGTGTTCTCGTGCCTATTGCTGACCAGTCAACAGCAATATTAATTTATGAAAGAGGCATAATAAGCTTTAAAAATTAAAAAAAATAAATTTATGACAAGACAGGTTTTCCTGTTAGCATGTTAGGAAGTAAACGTTTTTTTTTATAACATGAAGGTTCTGCAGGATCACATAGGAAGGTCTGGATAAGCTTTAAAGAATAGAGAATAATGCATGTAATGTGCACTATAAATAAAGAAAATAAGAAAATAGACATAACAATGAGAATTATTAACTTATTAAGGTGTTAAATTATAAGAAATACAGAAAAATGGAAAGAACAAAATAAAATCATAGAGATAAATGGTATAAAGAATTAGAGAAGAAAGAAATGAAAGACCCTCCATCCAGACCATCAGTAAAGAAAGGTTGTTTTGTGAAATCATTCATTGTTTTGTTATTCACCATGTTCACTGATTTTGTTTTCATATAATTTCCGCTAATTTTACGCTTGCAAATTATTTTCAGGGGTCGTGAATCGCTCTTTGAGCATTTATATTCAATTCATTAGTACGTATTAACAGATTTCCCCCTTTTCATGATTTGTTTACATGCGTCTTTCGCATATTTGTCGGACCTTTTCTAGTGTAAGACAGGGTGAAACTGCTTCATAAGCTACCAAAATGAAGATCTTTATCTATAATTTTCGATCTGCATTACAGTATTCATGAAAAGCAGTTCACGTGTTTGATTATTATGAGTTATAATTGTTTTTCTCTCTTCTCCGACGTCAAGAACATGCTCCATATTTTGAGAACGGAAGTACTATTGCGACAATGAAAATTGTACCAATAAACTTTATTAGGTTTTGAAATTGCAGTTAATAGTTATTCAACTCTTTATCAATGTAATTAAATAAAAAATATTATTTTAATAATCAAATATTATTGTGATTGCAAATTACGACAATACGCATGACTTACGACATCATTGCGCAACTGTATGCGCAGACGGCGCGAAAATTTAAACCCCCGAACTACCTTAAGCATTGAAATTTATTTTAAACTTTAAATGTAAAAAAAAACTATTGCTCAACGATATTGAGTCAGATCTAAATGATAAACCAGCGACTCGTAAAAGCTAATTGTTTATATTAAACGATATAATAGAAAAATCAAAGTATTCAAAAGTTGTTGATAAAGTAGCATTTTCGATAAGTGATACATTATTTAATTTACACAGTATTTAATACATGCCTACCCCGCTAGAATATTGATTCTACCAGATTTAAACAGTCAGACCAAATAAGCTGGTTAAAACTCAGGAATACCAGGCTTAATATTTTTTCTACATAAGGCGCATCATTGACGATCGAATCAAATCATTTAGAAATTCAAAGAAGAAATTACCATGGTTATGGATCCTCGTAAAATAAATCCAGAAAGACTTAATCCATTGCATGTTGGTTCTTTGCGTATTTTCCTAAATGTTAACCAGTGAATCATGACAACTTGTATATAATGTTCGATATAGACTTTGGATATTTTACATCATCATTTTAATTCTTGACATTTGTGTTTTTGATTCTACATAAAACGTAGAATGACTGCTAACAAACTTAGGCTAAATAGGCTTTATACACCTTTTAGCCCTAGATTGACTTTGAGTGCGTCATGTTTATTATTCGAAGTTATACTTTACTCTGGTTACCTATGAACATTACACCATAGTCTCATGCACCTTTTAAAAATATAAGTTATTGCTTATATATTAGATCGGAAGTTCTCAAATAAGACATTCGTTTCACGTAGCATCGTTTGTTGTCTACACGTATAATGATAAATGTAGAGATAAACTTACATCTTCTCGTAATTGACAGAAACAGCGTACATCAAACCATGTATATTAACACCAAAGAAACAAGGAACTTTGCCTGAATAATCCCTTCCAGTATTTGGGACTGCTGAAACACAAAACACAGTAGTACTTAGTTCGTTGCATGTTGCATGGAAGAGTTCAACCATTCTGTCAGGGTCAATTTGTAGGACGGATCGGGAATTTGGTTGTGTAATATAGCCTATATTTTGACTTGTTATAGCAATATCATACGGTTCACTGTCTACGTTAAGCTTCTTTAAATAATTTCCAAGAGGATCAACTAATATCAGATTCTTTTTATCATAGTCGCATAACAAAATGTTCCCCTTTAATGTAGCTGCTATTCCAGTAATCCGGCCGAAGTTGTGGTTGAATTGGCTTACATACGAAAATCCATGTCTGACATCACCTGGTACTGCCAACACCTGTGCCATATCTAAAATATTTAGAAAGAAATACAAGTTATTTTAGCTTTGTTATTATATCTCAGAATAATATGTACCACACGATAATGTTACCATTGGATTTAATCCTACGCTTATATTTTCCGCTAAAGGATAAGTTTTGTTAAGAATTGACGAAGGTCTTCCGGTCAGTGTTTTGAAGTGTATGCACGTCTTTTGAGAGCAGGATATTTTGATTATCTTTGCAAGGTTAAGCTCGGAATTCCAAGCAGAGAAATGTGTACCATTATCGGATCGTGTATGCAGTAAGTCAATTCTTCTATTTTTAAGAGAAAAATTGATTAAAATAACTATTTTGATGGATATATTGTGTATCGCACATGATCAGAGGCACCCTTGGTATATTTTGTTTCATTTATGAAAACTGTGACTTCTCGTTATGGATAGATTACCTAAATTTCTAATAAAGTCAGTAGAATGTGCATGTGAGGAATATGGAATTATATCGTATATGGTGATAATGACAATACAAGAATTTTGATTATGTTTTCGAACACTGATACAAATAAGCAAGTAAAACGTAAATCTGAATTGGCAAGAAAGAGAGACAATAATGAAAGTATTGATATTGATAATATAAACTTTGATGCATGTAACGTGGATGAATGCGAAGAACGTACAATGAATACAGACATTCCCCTTTTGGAATCCTCTTTATTCACACATAGTATTCCAATTGAACACGTGGATGAGAATATAGAACGATGTACATTTCATAAACCAGTTACTGTTGATATACCCGTAAACTGGTTATTAATAGCGGCAGGAATTTACCTGTAGGAGAGACAATAGAGTGTAAAGAAAAACGTAAGCAAATAGTGAAACGTACACATAGTAAAGAAATTGAATTAAAAGAACAAAGTAATACGTTATGTGATAAAGATTCTATAGAATCGAAACATGAAGAATTTGAGAAAATTGTTTGTAAAAGAAGTCTTACAAGTGGTGATGTTTTAATCGGAATGATCATTAATATGAACCTTATAGTTACATGTAATATAACTAGAAAATCTGTTGAAGCGGTTGATAACCGGGATGCAAGATACTGTATGAACATTATTTGCGATTACCTTTTAAGCAGTATGATGATATAACAGAGACTGATTTTTATTCGGAAAAAGCGAAGGAAGCAATTTAACTGATGATTAACTATGTGAAATGTAATAAATTGTCAGCATTATACTGAAGTCATTGATAAGTCTTTTGTGTGATAGGTTTGCGTGAAGTTTTGTATAATTCTGTGAGTGATTCTATTCATTTATATTGTTTTGCTGTACATGCTTAGTTGCTAGCTATTTTTTTTGTGTTATGTATGAAACTATGACAACGTTGAATGCGTTTTCAGGAATGGAATCAATCCGCAAACGCTACAAATGAACATTGTTGAATTTTTGAATAGACAGTTAAAATAATTGTTGAATACAATATATCTATATACTGTGAAATATCATGAAGTAAATTTAGGATTTGTGTGATTTTTATTGGTTGTAAGGTGAATGAATGCTGCAGAATGGTAGTATAGGGACTCTATGTTTTCTGTGATAATATGTGAAACTTGTTGTAAGTAGAATTGAGGTTTAATAAATATAAAGATAAAAAAAAAAAAAAGGAATTGACGAATAAAGTGCATCGTAAGCAAAAAAAGTCACTTGTAAAAGTTTTGGAATATATTTCCAAATTGTAGTTGTTTTAAGTAAATACCCTTAATGGTTGGACAATTATACTATCAATTTTGTTTAAGAACCCGTCCCCATCCCCAGCTAAATTACAAAAACATAGACACCCCAACCTAAAAAAAAAAACAAAAAATCGAAACGAAACACCCAAACAAAAACAAACCAACATAAAAAAAAAACAGAGACACCAAAATAATGGTCCAAATAAAAAAAATAAGAGATATCATTTTTTGGGGTTTCTTTAAGCTTAAAACTCGTCAGAATTTATTTCAAATATTAAGCTGCAATTGCATTTTTAACAAAATCAGACTTTATAAGGATATTTGAATAAAGAAAACCAGCTAATCATAATGACCTTTTAAATCATATACATAATTACACGTACGACACAGATTTCATGGTTCACTGAACAAAGACACTTTATAGTATTAGTACATTTTGTTGTTGTTTTTGTTGTTGAGGTTGAGTACAACGAAGTATTGTAGTATAAAGGACAAGGTACGATAAGCTATTGCAACTGGCCCCCTATTTTCGTTGAAATTAAAATGAATAATATCCAAGAAACATGGCTATTTCTAAAAATTATAGTGTCTCTTCTTACAAAAAATCAACATAACTTTTCTTTTTCCGTGTGTGAAAATTATTAAATACCCCTCTCTTTCTCTTGAAATTTATTATTGAATTTTTAACTATGAGCGGACGCGAGTACCACGAAGATATTTCAATGTGTTGTTTGTTGTAAGGAAATAATTTACTGTTTAAAATATATTTGTGGTACTCGCGTCCGCTCATGTTCAAAATTCAATAATTCTACACTGAAAATTCCTTGATTTTACTAATAAATCGATAATATGTGAACCAAGGACCGGAACGAACTTGCATTTCCGAATCTGCTCGAGTCTCTTATTCTAACTCAGGTGATCTTGATTGAGTTACAAAACTTCAATGCCGCGAAGAAAAAAAGTTTTTTCTTCTTTATCATGTTTATGTTATTTTTGAAGTCGGGATAAGAAAAGGAACATGTGATTTTGCAACATTTTTTAAAGTGACACTGCCAATGTTGCAAACGAACAACCAGCAAACTGTACATTTAACAAAATTATATGAATGTAGACCATATCAAATTATATATAACCCTTGTATACGTGTACATACGTAAATGAAATGCAACTGGAAATTTAAATCGACTTCACGTGGAAACAAAATTTAGAACCGAGATTACCTCCCCTGTTAATGGATTTTAAAGGAAATTATTTCAAATACTTCTTTTTAGATAATTTTAAAGATAAGAAATCTGAACTCATTAAATAAATGATATATATTCTAAATATATAACATGTCTTAAAAAGAAATGATGTAAGGTTTAGATACAAATTTGAAACTTTAATAAAGTGTATGCAAATATTGTAAACCTTTGGAAAAATACAAAGTCAAATATAATACTATATATATTAATCTCAACATTGCCCGACTTACAAGATCCGAAGATACATTGCAGATGCATGCTTCATTAAATTCAACGAAAATGCATTTGTTTACTCGTATATAAGCTCATCAGCTGTTGATTGCAAAAAGCTGACATCACAACATGATAGAAGTTTCAGAAAGAAAAAAATAATAATACTATCTTTTCTGCGACTATTTTATTCTATTTTATATCTTTTCTCTTTTCTTTTTTAGAATCTTTTCTCTAATAAAAAAAAAAGTGGCTATATGTGACTTGATAATCCATAAAATGATAATGTAACTAATTTTTGTTAAAGAAATAAATTGTCTTCTTGACACATTCCCTATTCAGTTCATTCCAATTTTAGACAATGGATATTAAACTTGTATTTTGTGTACTAGTATCTAATGAAGGGATGTAGAAAAGACATTTCTTTACTTAAAAGCTGCACACAATGGACCGAACAAATAGGTTTGGTGTCTTTTTGTAGTTGGGATGTACAAGTACCAGGCAACGTCCACTTTTCTGAAGTATTCGTATTTTTATCAATCTGATGAGTTAAGCCTTTTTCAACTGATTTTTATAGTTCGTTCTTATGTTGTACTGTTACACCACTGTTCTAGGTTAGGGAGGGTTGGGATCCCGCTAACATGTTTAACCCCGCCACATTCTGTATGCATGTGCCTGTCACTAGTAAGGAGCCAGTATTTAAGTGGTTGTCGTTTGTTTATGTGTTACATATTTGTTTTTCGTTCATTTTTTGTGCATAGATTAGGCCGTTGGTTTTCTCGCTTGAAATGTTTTACATTGTTATTTCGGGGCCTTTTATAGCTGACCATGCGGTATGGGCTTTGCTTATTGTTGAAGGCTCTACGATGACCTATAGTTGTTCATTTCTGTGTCATTTTGGTCTTTTGTGGAGAGTTGTCTCTTTGGCAATTATACCACATCTTCTTTTTTATAATTAATTCATTGAACAAAATGACTAAAACCACTAGACTCCTATCATTTTTCCGGATTGCCCAAAGATAAATATGTTATTATATTCTATTTTTCATGATATATTCATCTTTTGTCTAAGATAAAAATAAAAAATGTAAAAGAACGCAAAGTCACCGCCCCCATATCCTCTCGGCCCAGTTAAAAAGTTTGAAAGTCAGCAGCCAAGTTTACACATCAATAATTTTATTCTAATAATTTTCAACTTTTTTCTTGGTGCCCCCCCCGCGTCAGAGGTATAAGGCATGCATCCGTCCATTGATTTGTATACCCCCGCTGTAGCGGAGCGGTAATTAGATTGTACCCTTGTCAGTCTATACATACGTACGTACGCCCGTCCGTCTGTACGTTCCAAAATTGGTTTCCGATCTCTAACTTTAGTTTGCCTCAACCAAATGTTATGAAACTTATACCCAATGCTTATTACCACTAAACACGGGTCAAGTTCGATTTTGGTGGCATCACTTTTACCATCCTAGAGTTATACTCTTTTACAAAGGAAAAAATGCTGAATTTTTCTTTTCCGTTTTCTAACTTTAGTTTGTCTCTACCAAATGATATGAAATTTATATACACATTGGTCATACAACAAAACACAGATAGAGTTTGAATTTTGGTGGCGCCACTTTTCCAGTTCAAGAGTTATGCCCCTTTTACCAAAGGAAAAATTGCTGAATTTTTCGTTTCCGTTCTCTAACTTTAGTTTTCTTCAACCAAGTGATATGAAACTTATACACAATGCTTATATTACCACAAAATACAGGCCAAGTATGAATTTTGGTGATGCTTTTTTGTTCTGTTCTAGGGTTATGCTCCTTTACTAATGGAAAAATTGCTGAATTTTTTGTTT